ACATCAGGAATCATAACGTTCAAAAACCAGTCTGAGAACACTTCAATCTCCCTGGACTCTCAATAACAGACTTAAAAGTGGCAAATTCTTCAACAAAAAACTTCAAAAAAAGACTCCAGTGAGAAATTGCAGAACTGGAATTAATTTGCAAACTGGACACAATCAAATTAAGCCAGAATAAAGACTGGGAGTGGATGGGTCACTACAAAAACTAATTTACCCATACTAATTTCCCCCTACCGTTACTTACACCTTCTTGTCAACTGTTTGAAATGGAAAAGGAGTACTTGTGGCACCTTAGAGACTAACCAATTTATTTGAGCATGAGCTTTCGTGAGCTACAGCTCACTTCATCGGATGCATACCGTGGAAACTGCAGCAGACTTTATATATACACAGAGAATAAGCCTCATTACCACCACAAAAGTGATTTTTCCTCCCTTGGTATTCTACTGTTGAGAAAAGCCCACTTCCACTTTAACTGAATTGTCTTGTTAGCACTGACCCCCCCACCCCCTGCACTTGGTAAGGCAACTCCCATCTTTTCATGTACTGTGTATATATATTCTGCCTACTGGTTTTTTCACTCCATGCATCTGATGAAGTGGGTTTTAGCCCATGAAAGCTTATGCCCAAATACATTTGTTAGTCTCTAAGGTGCCACAAGTACTCCTCATTGTTTTTGCTGATACAGAATAACACGTCTACCACTCTGAAACCTGATTACAGATAATATCTCACCCTCAAAGATTTTCCAATAAGCTTCTTTCACAGACTAGACACCTTCCTAGTCTGGGCCCAATCCTTTCCCCGGTACAGTCCTTGTTAGCTCCGGCAGACATCTCAGGCGGTAAGCAGGGGTTTTCTCATGACTGGCCACCTCTTTTGTCCTGCTTCCCATCCCCCACCCTGTGCCCCCCCCAGCGTGTCTTTTATAGCGTTGGCAGAAGGCAGGAATCTTTTGTCTGTGCTTGTCCCCACCACCGCCTCATCAATGGAAAAGTGCAGGGATTAAGATGGATTCCAATATCATGTGACATGGTCACATGTCACTGTAAGACCCCTGGTCTCCATTCTTCCTTAGGCCCACACATACACAGGAAGCTTTGCAGGTAAATAAACCATTTACAATCAATTGTCTGAGTCAATGGGAGCCATCAAGATTCTAAACCACCCTTAATGGCCCACACTTTGCATAATTACATTAGGACCTCAGAGTTATACTTCATATGTCTAGCTTCAGATACAAGAATGATACATGCATACAAGGAGGAGGAATATATTCAGTAGGTTATAACCTTTGTAATGATACCTTACAAGAGACCTTTTGCATAAAGCATATTCCAGTTACATCATATTCACACTCATACGCATATTTCCATAAAACATATGGAGTGCAAAGTCACAGTGTTATACCTCAGTTTCCCTTTGTGCACAGCAGTTCAAACTTGTTGTGCTTTTTCTGCTGTGGAAAATTTTAGCAATGTGTCTATGTATTAGCTGTGAAATCTTAACATCATTAGGCTTTTTAATACAAAGTGTGTTCTTGTTCAATGAAACAGCATAATTTTCAGGTCAGCTTGTCCAATATCCCTTTTGAACCTTTGTAGCTTTTTCTTGACCTTAGCGTCTTCCTTAACATCTATTTTTAGTTTAGCCACTTCCTTGGGGTTTTGGTATTTTAGGGATCACCCTGTGGCTTCCATTAGCATAATAAACTTTTTCCCTTCCTTCCTTCCTTTTCTGGAGGGTCAAAATCTGAGCTCTTTTGCTTAACAGAATCCATTGACTGGCTGGGTGTGTCCTTTTTGCTAACAGGTACAGGCAAGTCTGTTTCCTCACAGTCAGTCAGGTAATTTGCATCAACACAGACACGAGCTTGTTTACTAGTTTTCAGATCCTCAAGCTTTACCAATTCCAAGGCTGGACTCTGTCTATCCATTTCCACTAGCATGTTCGACTCAAGGTTCCTTTGTCCATCCATTACCAACCTCTGCTTCCACATGGAATCAGAGGTCAAGGCCACTAAGAGACTACAAAACAGATCCAAAATACCTAGAGATGAGAGTTTACCTGCCCTCCCCTGTATTCCCTCCTGCTCCTCCTGCTCTGCAGATTTAGCTGTCCAGTCATCCCTCTGAACCTGAGATACAGATTGTTTACTCAAAGAACCAACATGGAGACAGTCCTGTCCTGACACCATTGTCTCCACGACAAGCTCGTTAAGCTTCTAGGGCTGTTTAAATTCCCTAACAATCTTTATTTCATTTGAAACCTTTTCAAAGCTATCCATACAGGATCTTTCTAAGGCAAAGTCAGTGGATCTGTACACCTCATAAAGACGCTCGCAGTTAGGATCTGGAACAAATCTCCCAAACAAACTGTTGTTTTCTCTATACAGTGATTCACCCTGAGTTAACTCAATCAAATCACTTCCACACCCACCACTTGCAGCAAACTGCTTGCAAAAACTACCCCAAAGACTTTTCTCTTCTGGAATCTTTCTAAGCAACAACCCAGTTTTCACAGAAATTCTGCCCGTACCCTTTTCACCTAAAGGCTTGCTGTAAAGGAACATTTTCCTGAGCAACAACAGACTCTTCCTGGGTCTCTCTTAAATCCAGAATCACCTCTGCCCCATCACGAGGATTTTCACAAATCCCCCTTTCAGGTAAACTGCTAGACTTCTTAGTCACAAGATTAGAAGCATTCTCTTCCTCGTTACAAGATTCCACACTGTCAGTGAGTAACATGGTCAAATCACCTTCGTGCTTTCCTTGTGCCCTGGCTATGATATCACCCTGGTCAGACAAGGTTGTCATATCTTTCCCCAGTAACATACTAGCAACAGGCAAAATAGAAGTAGCAGAATTGCTTGGTCTCTGGGAGCTATTTATGACATCAACTGGATGCAACCTAGTTACAATGTCACCATCCCTAGCAGACACAAATTCAGGACCACTTCCTTCCTGGGCTTTCGTTGTATCCAGAATCAGCTCTGGGTCAACTGACAAATTATTAACCATCATAGGCTGACAGTCTTCTTCCGTCTGCTTTACAGACAGAAAAGAGCTGGAGAAACATTCCCCTTTAACAGACAAACAGCTTGGGATATCCTTTCCCTTGTCCCAGCACACATGGCTATTCACAGACAACTGCTTGGAGATTGGGGTAGCTCCCTTCATGGGCAAGTCATTACCCCGAACAGACACAAGAACGTTTCCTTCGCTGTCACAATTCTCCACACTGCTAACAGGTAAGGTGTAGGGATACTCACATTCCCCTAACCTTGCCTTCCCACACTGCTGATTAGACAAAGCCATCAGCTCACAAGGCTGCCTAGGCTCATCTAAACTTTCTTTGCCTTCCCCTCCCTTAACAGATAAACTGCTGTTTTCCACCATTAGTGTCTTTTTACACTGAGGTACTTTAAGCACATCACTTTTACCTGGGTTAAAGGCTTACTTCCCCAAGCTTTACTAGCCAGCAATTTATCACTCACCAAGACTCACCCCAGCTCACAGTAAGAGCATTTATATAAAAGATGACAATGTTGGGGTAAATTTGGTTACACACAAACAACTGCTTAGAGTCAAACAACGTATAAACATCGTTACAAACTGGATAGATTCTATCCCCATCTTCGTTGTTGAGAGGAGCTGGCTTTCCAGGATGATACAGTTCCTGTTGTTCCTTTATTCTCTTGAGTTGGAGCTTAAGTCTGTCCACTTTTGCCTTAGCTTCTAGTTCCTGCAATAGAATATATGCCATTCTCTGTTCATGTTCAAAAAACAGGCGTTTTCTTTCAGCAGCTTCTCCTTCCATATCAGCTATTTTTTCCTTTTGTTCAAGTTCGAGCTCCTGGTTTCTCACCACAAGCATTTACGCTGGTTCTGCTTCCTTATCACTGGCAATTAACAGATTTTTCAGTTCCTGATCTGGGGCCTTTTTCTTAAGATTAAGAAATTACTATAAAGCCATTTCCTTGTTCCTCCACCATTCCCAGTGCATTTCAAAGAGAGGTGAATACTGAGATATCCCCTGTTCATTTACATGATAGGATGTCCTTTTGACTGCTGAATTATCAGAATACAGCATAGACAGGGACCGGACTCCCCTCCCTTTTCCTTTAGTGCAGCAGCACCTTGCAGAAGAGGATGCTGCACAGACATGCTGGGAGGATTTATACTGATTCAAGGGATCCTTTACCCAATTCCTACTCACCATCTCCTAACTGGTTCTCCTGAGATGTTACTAACCTTGAGAGATTGCAAGACACTTTACATAGTCACCCACATGCAGTTCTCACAGCCCTCTTATTTAATTTAGGCTTCATATTATTGCAAGATGCTTCAAACCCTTTACATGCATGTTCCAATGCATTTTTCCTTGAAAAGGGTCATCTTCCTATGGGCATAGACTGCGGTCTGCTACCCACTTTGCAAGGAAGGTTGGTTCCTCTGCCAATTTCCATCCCTCCTGGCTTTTCAACTTCGGATTCCCACTCTCCCTATTCCCTAGAGTGTTCGTTCTGTCAAACAGGCTGCAGTTCCTTCTTGACAGAAGGGGCACAAATATTCTGTCCAACTGCTGTATAAGGCTCAGTCAGCTTGCTCCAAATAACCTAGGTTGCTCGCATTCTCCACCAGTCTGTTGCCCGCTCAGTTAAGGGCACCCCACCTATACCCTTCCACGGGCTCAAGGCGTGACCTGGTCAATTTAGGGCACCCTGCCTACACCCTTCCGAGGGCTCAAGGCGTGACCCAATCCATTTAGGCACCCCCACCCTTTCCCTACCAAGGGCTCAGGCTGTAAGGCACCTATTTTTACCCATGGGGCTCAGGAAGAAACCTGGTCAATTTAAGTACCTGCCCTTTCCCTCGGGGTTCAGGGCTCTACAGGTCTGCGGAAACTTTTCCCAGCAAAAGCCTTACACAGTTGTGCTCTAAATATCTATTTATCAGCAACACACATATACCAAGCAAATCTCTTATGCTCACCACTCCCAATATCCAGACAAATTTCAGCCCATGGCCAGTCAGGATTCATTCATCTGGGGGTTCCCGGCGATGCCTCTGCACATCTCGGTCGTGCAGAGGGGTCAGAGTTCCAGCAGCCTGATGTTGAACTGCAATCCGGAAATAGTTCCCAAGGAGCATTGCTTTTCATTTACATTTTATACAGGTAAAACTAGCTCCCTCCTTCACATTTACTAAACCTGTCACAATATCCCACACCCCTAAATTACAGAAATTTTAACCAATTACACACTGGCACCTATGTGTCCTTCTTCCTGCCCACGTTCTTTACATTTTATCTTTTATGCCCAAATGGTAACTTAGTTGTGACCTTCTCTCTTGGTGCAGAAGGTCAGCATAAAACGCTGGTCAGAGCTTATCTTCCCATCTCTTGAGTCTCTTTCCGTATCCTCCCTAATTTCCCAGTGCCTGGCGTCTCTACTTCACCACTTTGGTGGGCGTAATGCTCATTAGGGACATTCCTGAGGTGGGGGGCTTTACCAACAGCAGAACATTCTTCTTCTTCTTTTTTTAATTTTAGTGGTGAACTCCCTGAGTTTCACGCAACGCTGGTTTAATATGGGGGTGGGGGGAGTTTAATCCAGTCTCAGGCCTACAGCAGGATGACAACCCCTGGTGCTTCGTTCTTTGGAAGGTCACAGAAACTCGGGACTGGTGAAGAAATTACTGCTCTGGGTGACTCCTTGGGGCAAATTTGGCAGTTTCAATACAGGCTGATAGGAAGGTTCACTAGACCCCATTCCACCCCCAGAGAACCAGGAGTCCTGGATCCCAGCCCCTCCTGCTCTGAACCACTAGACCCCACTCCCCTCCCAGAGCCAGGGACATAACCCAGAATTCCTGGCTCCCAGCTGCCCTGCTGTAACCCACGAGACCCCACTCCAATCCTACAGAGTCCACCCAGCTGAACATGTCGATAGGTGCCCACATGGATACTGAGAATGGACTAAGGGGATTAGCAGGGACTCTGCAGACAGGAGCCCAAAGGATCATTCCCCCCACTTTTCATGACCTGCGCTCAGCGGGGTGCATAAGTGGGATCCCGTTAGCTATTGACCAGAGCTAGCTGTCATAATGACAGCCTCTTCGGAGCGAGCCACATTTCTGTGGCATTGGGACCCCATGTGCCAGGCTGTCCCCCGACACATCTGGCCCGGCCATCCCTTCCCTATGGGGGGCTCAGCCAACCTTTCCCCCCACAAACACACTTCTTCAGTCCCACCCATGCCACCAAAACTGCCTTGGAAATCCTGGCCCTAGTAACGCTGGCTAACAGGGCGTCTTCCTTAGAATAATTTCAGGCCCTTCAAAAATTGTATCGCAAACCTTCAAGTCCTTCCCAGTTGATGAGATGCAGATTTCTGTAGATAGTCACAAGATGTGCTCCCCCCAAAAAGGGCTTGTTGAATATTTTTCTCTGCCCATCCCCCAATATTGCCCCCTGCCTCCACTCCCATCCCTCCACCCCCTTTCCTTCCACCTCAAACCAATCCCTGTAGACACCCCCACTCCTCACGCCCATACCCCCCTCCATCCCCACTCCCTTCCTACACCTCTGCTTCCCTCCTGCCTCCCTACCCAGCCTCTTCCCCTCTCCTTCCAGTAGGCCCCATTCCTGGTCCCCCCACCCTCATCCTCCAGTCCCCTGTCCACCTCTTCCTAGCCCTTCCGTTCCCCATTCATCCCCATCCTGGCATCCCATTCCCCACTCTCCCAGTCCCCCCTCAGCACCCTGCCTTCCTCCATCTCCTGTTCTTCCCACCCATCACAGCACATGCTTCCCTCCCTCATGTGTGCCACCTTTGGGGCCCGCTCCCTCTCCTCTTTCCCATGGCAACAGGTGGCCCTGCCTAGCCACATGCCTCCATAGGTCAGGCAGATCAGGATGCTGACACAGGCCGTGAGGGCCAAGATGACCAGAGCCATGTGCTTGTCGGCCTGGCCCCTCACGGCGCACTCGAGGATACTGGGGCAGGCCAGGGTGCTGGGGAAGCAGTGGAAGGAAACTCCTGATGCTGTGGGCAACTGCTGGGCAAGCAAGGCCCACAGGAAGCCAATCTCGGTAGCCAGCAGTGAAGCGATGCACATGGTGAAGACTCCAGCATGCCAGAGCGGCTGGGCGGCCATGTCGGGTCCTGCCGGGGAGCCGGTCACACCACTGACCCCAACTGTGTTGGCTCTGGCAGCCACATTGTTCACACCAACCAGCTTGGGGTTGGTGGCCATGTTGGAGTCTCCCATCGGCTGGACCATGGCAGCCATGTTGGATTTAGCGGCCATGTTGGATTGCCCTCCCCTCTTGGGTCTGGCAGTCATGTAGGATTCTGCCACCAACTTGTGTTCGGTGGCTCTGTTGCATGTGGCCGACGCCGCAATCTCCTGCCCCCCCTTGCTGTGAGGATCGTCTTTGGGGTACAGCATTCTGAGAATGGTAATGGGGAGCAGGGCGATGAGGAAGGAGAAGCCCCAGGTGGGCCTGATGGGGTCCAGGAAGTGGCGGTTGTAGCAGACCGAGGTGCAGAAGCGCCGGGTCTCCGCATCCTGGCCGGGACTCCAGGCACACGCTATATCCTGCTGCGCGCTCTCCCACGGCGCACTGGCGAAGTACATGGCCAGCAGGCGCAGGCCCAGCAGGAAGAACCAGTGCTCCAGGCCCTGCCATTGCACAGCCCCCGACAGCGCCGACAGCACCGGTTGCAGCAGGCCCACCAGCGTGGAGATAATTATCATCTGCCAGGAGACAGGCATGACATGGAGTGACACAGGGAACATGGATTCCTTTGGGTTCTTTCTTTCTGTCTGTCTGTCTGTCTTTCCCAGGGCTGGGCTACACTGAGACCTGACACGGGCAGAGCTGCACACCCCTGAGTGATGTAGTTAAGCCGACCTAACCCCTGGTGTAAACAGCACTAGGTCAATGGCAGAATTGTTCCATCAACCAAGCTACTGCCTCTCAGGGAGGTGGATTAACTATGGCAACAGGAGAACCCCTCCCGTAGGTGTAAGTCATGTCAACACTGAAGAAGCTTACAGCTGCGACACTCCACTGTTTCACCAGAAGACCTCAGATTCCAAGTTTCTAAGGCCAGGAGAGACCATTGGGGTCACCTAGTCTGACTCCTGTATGCCACAGGCCAGAGAACAGCCCTGAATTAATTCCCATTTAAACTTCCTTTCTCTCCTTCTCCTTCCCTTCTCTTCATTTCACCTTCTTCTTCCTTTCATCCTTTGTTTCATTCATTCTTCCCATTATTGTAATAATTATTTATTATGACCACACCTACAGACCTGGACCAAGCTCAGGGCCCCAATGGCTCCAGGTGCCGATTTTCCTTCCCTAGACAGAGGTCTGGCTCTGCATTGGGCTGAACACTGCACAGACACCCCCCCACCCCCCTCAGGCCAAGATCAGGGTCCCCGTCTCCCCGGGCCCTGTGCAGACACCCCTCCACCCCCCTCAGGCCAAGATCAGGGTCCCCGTCTCCCCGGGCCCTGTGCAGATGCACAGTGAGAGGCAGTCCCTGCCCCCAAGAACCCCCAGTCTTTCTTTCTCATTCCCTCATATTTTCTGTCTCAGTTCAGCCCAGCTTCCAGTACCATTCCCATCCCCACTCACGACACCCCATTTCCCTGATACCTTTGTCTGAGATTCTCTCCTCTCTCACTCTCTGTCACTGTTTTCTCTCCTTTGTCCTGGGATCCTCTATCTCGCCGGTCTATGGGATCCAGACCCGGGGTGGGGGGAGCTACGATGCTACCTGCAGGACTAGCGTACGTCAAGTCAGACAGCCAGACAAGGGGAAGCTGCAGACCGAGAGAAATGCCAGAGCTATCATCAAACCATCAACATCTTCCCACACATCTGGCTCCCCGCCCTTTTTCAGAGCAGCTGGCAAAGGGATTATCTCTGCTCCACCTATTCTGGGAGTGATCATTGGTGGGATAAAGCCCAGGAGTCCTGCCCCAACTCCAACAGTGGAAGTAAAAGCCAGAAGTCCAGAATCTCAGCCAAGCCTGCTCCAATCCACTATACCTCACTCCCCTCCCACAACCAGGGATAGAACCCAGGAGTCCTGGCTCCCAGCACCCCCCCCCCCATTGTAACCCACTAGACCCCACTCTGTTCCCAGAGCTAGGGATAGAAAATCTTAAATTGAATTATGAACAAATAGGAAAAAATTATGCCTATGTTTTTATTGACAGAGCAAAGCGAGGCTGTACACTCAATTCAATAACATTCTTCTGCCCCACCCCAGAGGTGACTGCATCTCAGCGCTGGAAAAAGGGGTACCTGTGTAAGCAGGGTCTGAATGAGCTCTCCCCGATAGCTATCTGAGAGGAAAAGGCTTCAGGAGCAGACTGTGTTTACATGAACACACCTATTCTGCCTACGTATGCCACAGACCGAACTGAGCAACTTTGGCTGGTGTTGGGTTACAAATCACTTTAGTACTGAACGCTGGGGTAGTGAAAGGTTGTTGTTAATATTATCTTTATTGTATGAGTAAAGGGGAGCAGAACTGTGCTTAGCATGTCATGAATGAGGGGATCACCCTCAACTGAAATGAACTTGCTAAGCCAGGGGCTTGGATGCAGACCACTGTGAAAGTAAGAGAGGGTGGAGTCAGGAGATGTGGGTGCTATCTCAGCACCCCAGGCATGGTTCAACCTGCCCCTCCCCACTGTTCAAAGACAGAGCTAAGTAGGGCTCCATTAGGAGTCTTTTGTTTTGTTAAGTGCTCACTAGAGCAGAAATCAATTGTTGCAGGACAGTGTTTTTGCCCAGCCTGCTTCCGCAATGAACTTCCTCCACTAGGCGCTGACAATCTCTGAGAGCTGAAAATCACTAAGAGCCAGGGGGGAAACCTCTACAGACTGCCTATAGAGGGCACAATTTCCTAATTTCCTACATACATCTCCCTCGCTGCAAACTAAGCTAATTTCTTCTTCTCCCACGGGCAGACATGCAGCACCACTCATCACCATCCTCTTTACAGCAGCCCTTGACATATTTGAAGGCAGTTCTATCCCCTCTCAGTCTTCTCCTCTCTACACTGAACACGCCCCATTCTTTCAACCTTTCTTTATAGCTCATGTTTTCCAAACTGCTGATCATTTTGGTTGCTCTTCTCTGGACTTTCTCCAATCTATCCATATCCTTCTTAAAGTGCAGGGCCTCCAGAGACAGATGGGATGTCCTTCTAGAAGACGCTTCAGCCAAACCCAGATTATCAGGCTCAGTACAGGGCTGAGTGAAATATAATGGGTTGTGGTATAAGGCGGCCAGACTAGGTGATCTGATGGTCCTGTCTGGCCTTCAGCTGTCAGAATAGCACATGTGACAGGGTCGAGTGGTGCAGAAAGGTCCAGCAGGATCAGCATGGATGTCTGCTCTCACCCCTTTATTGCGGGAGATCATCCATGATGCCACCAAAGCAGCTTCAGTTCCATGTCCTGGCCTTCAGAGAAGAAGGGGTTCAGTGGAGAGGCACGAGAATGATTGCAGGGTTAGACAACACCCCTGATCATGAGAGATTCCAGGAGCTCAATCTGTTTAGCTGAACAGAGAGACAGTACAAGGGTGATTTTATCCCACATGGGCATAAGGATCCATGCACTAGAACAGGGGTGGGCAAACTTTGGGCCACAGCTGGGTGGGGAAATTGCATGCAGGGCCATGAATGTAGGGCTGGGGCAGGGGATTGGGGTGCAGAAGGGGTGTTGTGTGCAGAAAGGGGCTCAGGGCAAGGGGTTGGGGAGGAGGATGGGGCGGAGTGTATGAGAGGGCTCAGGGAAGGGGGTTGGGGTGCAGGAGGGGCATGGGGTGTGGCAGGGGGTTGGGGCAAGGGCACCACTTACCCGCTTACCAGCTCCAGGGCGGTAGCGGCGCGCACCGGGGCCAGGGAAGGCTCCCTGCCTGCCTGCCTGCCCTGACCCCGGCCCCGCACCGCTCCGGGAAATGGCCAGCACCATGTCCTTACAGCCCCTGTGGGAGGGGATGCAGAGGACTCCATGCGCCTGTAGGTACCTCCCCTGAAATTCCCATTGGCCGCAGTTCCACGTTCCCAGCCAATGGGAGTTTCAGGGGAGGTACCCACAGGGGTGCAGAGCCCTCTCCCCCCGTCCCCCCAGGGGCCACAGGGACGTGGTGCCAGCCGCTTCTGGGAGCGGTGCAGGGCCCGCGGCTCCACGGGGGTGGCAATCCCACGGGCCGGATCCAAAGCCCTGAGGAGCCAGATCCAGCCCACAGGCCGTAGTTTGCCCACCTCTGCACTAGAACCTGGGGCTGTAAAGCCTGGAATGGCCGACACTCCCACAGCGCCCCAGAGCCACTTCCTGGGAGCACTGCAGAGAGAGGGCACCACAGGACCCAGCGTCACAGTACCCTGCCACCCTCTAACTGGTCAAGCGCACTCTTTATCCCTGGAGGGCTCCCCAGGAGGTTGTCTGTGTAACTACACAGATGTCTGGCCTGCTGAGACTCCAAAGCTTGCTGTGTTTCCTGGTCTCCATCCTCTGACTCCAGCCTGGCATTACTTCTGACCTCCGGCCTCTGACCCCAGCCTGACTCTGACCCCGATTCTTGCTTTTGAACCCAGCTCTAGTGATTCCTCCGACTCCTGCTCAACAACTACCTTCCCGGACGTGTGGACCCCAGCACAGCAGTGACTGCTAGGCCAGACCACTTAAGCCCTGGTTCCTTAGAAAGGGCAATAAAGCTTCTATAATGGACTCTTTAATCTAGCAAACAAAGGTGAGTCCTGATCCAACAGCTGGAAGTTGGAGCTAGACAAATTCAGACTGGAAATAAGGCACAAAGTTTTAACAGTGAGAGGACTTAACCATTGGAATAACCATAGACTGAGGGTATAATAGGCCAGGGGAGACTAGCCAACCCACACTCTGCCCTCTCCCCCGAAGCCAGTGGGGGCTCAGCTCCAGACGGAGGTCAGCAGGTAATGGAGGCTGGCTGGAGGCCCGGAACTGGAGCTGGCAGCTGACGAGGCACTGGGGCCAGTGCTGGGGCTGATGGATGACCCAGTGCTGGGGCCGGCTGGTGGCCCAGAGCTGGGGCTGGCCAGCAGCTCAGGTCAGTTCAGCTGGAGCTCCTCCAGCCCCAGGAGTGGGGTGGCTTGGGGCTCCGGCAAATGGGGAGTGGTAGGGGTGGGGCCTCAGGTGGAAGGAGCAGGATCACATGGCTAGCCTCCCCAAAGTGGGGGCTCATGCGTCACCCATGATGGGCGTCGTAGATAGTTCATCACTGGCCATTTTTAAATCTAGATGGGACATTTTTCTATTAGCTCTGCTTCCGAAAGGAATTAATTCAGGGCAGTACCATGGTCCGGGTTACACAGGAGGACAGACGAGCTGGTCACAGGGGTCCCGTCTGACCTTAACATTTATGAATCAGGCTGTGCTGGGGGCTAGGATATTAGCTTCCACATGTTACCCCATAAATCAGGTTTTGGGGTGCCCCATGAATACACCACCTATTTCCCTCTTAATCTGTTCTTCCTGGGTCTGCAGGGTGGGTAAGGAATACCTGGAGGACACGGCTACACCCCTCCATCCGTGATGGTCACACACAGTACTCTTCCAAGGCAGGGCCCCTTTTTATTGCTCCAAGTAACAACTCCTGGCACAGTAACAATCGAAACACGATTCCCTTACAAGTTAAAGTACTTCAAGCCACATTCCCATATACTGTTTGAAATGACACTCAGTGCTGCAGGGGGGGCCGGAACAGGGGAGAGCAGGGGGCTATGCCCTCCCACGTCTTATCAGCCATAGGGTGGACCAACGGGGGGAAGGGGTGGAGAGCTGTAAGTGGGGGACGGGGCCTTGGGGAGAAGGGGGCTTGGGGGAAGGGGCAGTGTGGGGGCAGGGCCTCAGGGGCCACGGTTCTGATGCCTGTGACATGCCCCCCCCTTTTAGGGCACTTCTGCGGCTGGCGAAGTGATGCGCCCTGCTTACGGTGATGAGTTGTTCACGGGGCGGTGACAGCGGTGCGTAGCTGTTCATTAAGTGTCACACATCGAAATCCCTCTCACAGCCCCCTCTCCCCACCCCCACCCCCACACGTAACACTTCATGACCCCAGGCACACACAGAGACCCGCTAACACTACACTGTCCTGTGTCCGCACTACAGCGCTAACCGACAGGCTCACTCAGTCTGCTGCCTGCTCCACTCCCGCCCCGTCTCCCCGGCGGTGCCCCCATAAACCCCCCGGTTTGTCTGCTCCCCCGCACTGCCCCCGCCCCGCTCCGAAGCCCCGCACCCGCCGACCCCCCACGGCCAGACACTCGCTTTTATACCCTTCCCTCCAACCCATCTTCACACATGGGGCGTCGGGGGCCTCCCCACGCTGGGGGGGGCACCAGGTAAAGGGAGGGCACGTAACCTCCCCACATGTCTCCTCTCTGCCCTGCCCCCAGGGCTGGGCCCCCGGGCTCTCCTTGCCCCACATTACCTGTGGGTGCAAGGGGCTCTGTCCACCCGCTGCGCCGGCTCCCGCCCCTGGCACGTTCGGCCGCCCGCCCCGGCAGCCAGGCCTGGCTTAGGGAGCGGGACAGAGCCGCTCCCACTCGCTGCTCCCCACAGTGTAGCCAGCTTCCCGGGAGCCCCTGTCTGGGTCCCGCCCCTTCCTATCTGGCTCTGGCCCCACCCTTTTCTCTCCAGCTCTGGCCCCACTCCGGCTCTGCTCCCGCCCCTTCTTCTCTGGCTCTGGTCCCTCCTCTTTCTCTCCATGTAGCCGCCCCTTCCCCTCCAGCTCTGCTCCTGC